GTTAATTGGCTTTTAAATTGAATAAATAGTAGACAAATGTTTAACGTTGTTTGGTTCACATCTGTTGAAACGACACCGAATCCGACTGCATTGACGTTAGAAAAGCTCCGAGTCCGCTGGGGCCGAAACACGGGAACAAGCAGGAGGGACTAGTTTGAACGTTCGGCTCGTATGTGTTTGTCTGAGGTCTCTTTGGATTAATTATTCATGCAAGTGCATCAAACAAATGAATCAACAAAATATATTTTTGAAGAGTCAAGCCACCTGTTCTCATCAAAGTGTTTTACAAACTCAACCATCTACGCAAGTCGCCTTTATGCAAAGAAAGAAAAAAAACATTATTTATACCGTGGAAGGATAAAAAAGATACAAAAAGCATATTTAGTAGAAATTGTATTCCTAAAATACAACTTTTAAAGCTGCAGTGCCCTTTGACCTCTGACAGCAGCCAGATTATTTTCAGCCTCTCAGTAAATAGGATTGCTGGTTAGTCGAGGATTAACCAGTCCATTCATCTGGTTATTATACCACAGCAAAGTTTTCCTCATGGAAAGCACTTTGATTCTGGTCTTGATGTTGATCTTTGGTGGTTAAAAAAATAAATAAAAGCACCAAAATAATAAATTAGGTTAAAAATTGAGGATTAATAGAAGCTATGAGACGCAGAGAGATTAATCTGGGCAGGATTGCAGTCTGTTAATGACACTTAGTTGCCCGGTTGGTGGTCTGCACCACAAAGCATCGCGTCTCTCCACATGATCCTTCATGAATAAAATAATGCAGTGAAGTATTTAAAAACTCATCAATAATTTACGTTTCCTCTCTCTGTTTCACCGTGTCACCCTGAGACACGGGAACTTATTTGAATCATATAGCGCTTTGTTTTCGCGACCCGTATTTCTCTTATCATTATTCTTATTTTTTGTTTTTCACCTCTTTAGGTTTTGGAGGTGGTCCGCTCCAATTACGACACTCTGACCCTGAAGCTGCAGGACGGTCTGGACCAGTTTGAGAGATATTCAGAGCAGCCAAAAGAAGCTGCGTTCTTCAAGGAGCTGGTGAGAGACCCGATGCGTTCGTCTCTCTCCTCACCCAGCCCCGCTGTCCGTCGCGCTTCAGTTTTCCCCGTCCGTCCTGTCATTCACTAATCTCTCCATCTGTCTTTCCAACCATCCATTCGTCTGCTGTTCCGTCTGTCCATCCTCTCTCCTTTCATCATCGCTCTATCCGTCCGCAGCCTGTCAGTCTGTTGTTTTTGCAGCGTCTCTAATGGAAGAGTTGTGTTGAATTTTTGTAAATCTTAAGTTCCATCAGTGTAGCTTTTTCTTTAGGCAGTCAGTTTGAAACCCCACTCTGTGATGAATATCACATTTAGTTACTTTGGTCACTCTGAGACCATCCAATTAATTTAAGAGGTTAATAACACACCAGGGGGGCGTATTGTGTTTTTGTTTGTGTTTTTTGACCACTTTTTAAACTAATAAGATCAGATTAACTTTCATTTACATTTAAGATGTAATAATTTTTGGTAACGCCTTATTTGAAGGGGTGTACATACGACTGACATGACACTGTCATAAACATGACATAACATCTGTTATGAACACGAAGGAGTCTTTATGAACTGAGTCTTCATGAAGTGTCATTTGGTAAATGATGACACTTTTAATGGACTTTTAATAGAACTTTGCATTAAAAGGATCATTATTGACCAAATAATGCAAAGTTTACACTTTTTATGCAACTTCTAGTGCAACTTTACATTAAAAGTGTCATTATTTACCGAACGACACTTCATGACACCAGTTCATGAAGACTCCATCTGTTTATGATCATTTTGTTATGTCAGTCTTATGCACAGCCCTTCAAATAAAGTGTTACCAAATTTTTTGTATTATTTTGTCTATAGAAATATAGAATTAACATATTTATTTCAAATATTTTTCAAACTACCAAGTCGGAAGTGCATTCAAGAAACAAACAAGCTGCCTGTTGCCGCCCACTGCCTTTTCTTGGAATAATTTAGCTTTAGGAGCGCTAGAAGGCTGTGTGCGTGCGTGTGTGCGTGTGTGTCCTCGGCTCGGTGGGAGTGTGTGTTTTCTCTCCGGTGACGACCGTTTCTGTCTGCAGGTGCGCTCCATCAGTCTGAACGTGAGGAAGAACGTCTCTCTGAACACGCTGAGTCAGGACGTGCTGCTCAAAGAGTTCTCCACCATCTCCTGAGCCTTTGGGTTGGCCTTCATGTGCATGTGGACCCATACACACACACACACACACACACACACACACACACACACACACACTCACACTCACACACAGACCAGACAAGTCCTCAACGGTTCTTTCCATTTCCACAACCTTTGTCAAAGTAAACCAAGCGGTGGAAAACCGACGGACGCCGCGCCGGCCGACCCGGACGCAGCAGTCCAGTCCCTGTCCACGCTTTCTTCTTCTGTGGTTTTGGAGGTGTCTGAATGCAATCAGCTGGACTGTTACTGACAGGGGAACAAAAAGTATTCCTCCTGCTGTTCAAATAATCCCAGTTCATGACATTTTAGGTTTTCTGTGTTCCCTAAGCTGAGGTGATGGTGGTTCTGAGCCGTTTTGACCCGAGTGACTCTTGTTGATTTTTAGGTTGTTTTTTTTGCTCTTGAAAATCTGGAGTGGAGTGAATGTAAAAAGAAACAAAACCTCTGGTTCTCTGAAGTATTTTCTACTTTTATTTCTGATGAAGCGTAGAACAATAAGGTGATTGAGTCGAAGACGCCGCAAAGTGATTAAAAACTGACGACAGCTAAATGAGATATCCCTGCTACTGTTACCGTCATTTCTCTTTAACAAACTAACCTGGAAGTGTTGAGGTGTACACACACACACCTGTGTGCGTTTTGGCACTAATTATGACTGTTTATAGCGGGACAAAGAACCTTGATATAAAACTCTCTGAGGTGATTATTTTTGGTTTAAAGTCAACAATTAATTATGCAATTTTATCCAGTGTATGGCCTGTCTGTCATCTCTAAATCCTGTAGGTGTATTTATGTTTTTTTTTTTTTTTAAATAAACATTCTTTTCCAACTTAATTTTTTTTTCTCAGATGATGGATACATCGCCACATCAAGTTTCTTTCATAACCTTTCATCAGATCAGTGAATGTGCGCTCGGTCACTACACTCAGCAGTGAAAGGTGTTTTCTTTTGATGAATACAGCGACTGAAAACAAACGTTTTTTTGTTTTTTTTTTTTTTTTTTGTCTGGGGTCGTTTGTTTCTCCCGAGTTTCCCCGTTTAGCAGCTGTGAAATGTGAGGCTTGTCTCCAGGTAGATGGAGCGCGTCTGGGCTCGGCCGAGTCGTGTTTCGTGGAAAAAGAGCTTTGAAAATATCCAGGGGGTTTTGTGTTTGGTGCAGGATGCAAGAGCTGATTTAGTTTGAAGGACTTCTGGTAAAAGTTGTGAACAAACATGGTCACAGTTTTGCGAGCGAGTAAATGAGAACATAAGTAATTTCAAAATGTGACAATTGCATTTCCAGCTGCAGGATAACTACTCTCTACCCGTTGAGGAGCCACAGTCAACAAAATGGGTGGCGGCTGGTGATACGGGTGTTTGCCCAGGGCTATATTAGGAATCAGGGTGCACAAGCTGCAGCTTTCCTGTTAATTACATTGTGAAAAAGTTTTCCATTGTTTTTTTGTTTTTTTTTCAGCAGTCAGTACTGCTGAAAATGTTTAATCTGTTTTGACTAAAGAGTAAGGAGCAAGAAATAAGACATCAAAACCTTGGTTGGGATCTCCTGGGACCTGGTAAAATAAAAAGTATTTTAATAGAAAATAAACGCGTGCAAAACATATTTTTTTCTTCAAACAAAGCCATAAAATATAAGGAAATGTTATGTTTTCAAACATCCATCTCCAACTCCTGGGAAAGTGGCTATTTGTCTCTGGAAGTACTTGGAAAATATCCCTCAAATAAAATGATGAAACATCAGAAAAAGAGAAATCCTTTTTTCCAGGAAGAAAAAAAATAAAACTAATGCTTGTTGGTGATGAACAGAGTGCTTTTAAAAAAAAAAAAAGACAGGCAGGCGAGTGAGGGATTATTACGTCCTCTGTCGGAAGACCAAGAGAAATAATCCACGGGCTGCAGGAGAAAGACTGGAGACAAAGGAGAAATATGGAGAATGAAGAGACAGAAAAATGAGGCCCAGTGAGATATAATCAAAAAGAGGAGAGGCAGAAAGCAAAGCTGTTCCGGAGAGGTATTTAAATGCACTCTGTGCCCTAGGACTAGTAAATCCAGCAGTATTGATGTTTGTTCACCTCCTTTACGGAGAAGTTCAGCGCCCGTGGAAAGCGGAGCTGACAGATAACCAATAACAAGCTCTGATTGATGCTCGGAGAGGGTTGTAACGCACTCTGAAAAATAATCCTCTGACTGACAAATTCACTCCACATATGAGCTGTCGTAGTAAACGTCATAAACCAGCGTCTTCTAAAGGAGCCAAGTTTGTTTCCAGGCTGCAGCCCAGAGAGAAAAACTATTTTAAATAAAGTGTGTAGTGGGTGTTCGGAGGAGACAAAGGATGCCATCTCCACCCAGATGAATATTTGATGAGGAGGCTGATATGCTCCAATGAAACTTCATGAATACGCAGCAGCGTTAATGTGGAGTCACACGGTTTAACACGCCGGCTGAGGCTTGGCTCTGTCCGCCAAACACGTGAACTAACATCCCGACTCTCACGTCAGGGAAGGATTATCTACAAAAACAGCAGAACTCGTCTGTTCAACTCACTGGAAATGATTCAGAAAGACCTTCAACCAACTTCAGATATTTACATGCACTGTATAACACCTCACTGACAGGAAGTGAGGCCTTTTTCCATTGCTTCATTTGGGAATCCCATGATGATTTTTCATTTGCTAAATGACAGAATGATGACAGATGAGTTTTTTTAGATAGCATACAGATAAAACAATGTAAAAGAGGGAAAAAACACATTTTATTAAAAAAAAACATCCATGTTGAAAATGATTTATACCCTTTTCAAATAATCAAATCAAACTCTTCTCATAATTGCTAACCAGCTTTTACCATGTGTTAATTTGATATTGTTCGTTTGAAGGCCTTTAGCTTCACCTGCAGATTCTCTATTCAAGTTGTTACTCTGACAACTCTGGCCACGTATTAGCATGTTCATTAAATTAAAGCATTTCTTTGAACATATATCTTTCAGGGGTCTGAAAACCAGGGCCAGCTTCTCTGGCCCTGGTTTTCTTCTGCTAGCAGCTGTGAGCTTCACCTCGGTTAGCAGAGCCCCTCTGGTTTAACGCAACCAGTTCCGGTATCCGAGCTCCGACTTTCCGAGACAAATTGAACGCAGCATGATTATAAGCGAAACCAGTGGGAGCTAATTATGGCGGCGCTAACTGCTGCTACCCGTCCAGAACCTCAATGGGTTTCTCTCCTTCCTATTGATTCAAACACCGAGGAAACATGCTCACAAATAGAGGGTGTGCCACTGAATTGGGTAAAAAAAAAAAAAAAAAAAATCAGAAATGCTGATAAATAGTTAATTTCTGTAACTGGTACTGCGCTTCTTAGGTGGCAGCCATTAGTGACGCTTTTTAAAAATCAGTGTTCGTCTGATAAAAGGCTTATATTTAACGGGACACATTTGGTGGTTCCGGGAACAAGGAAGCTGTGTGAGTTTTCCCAGAGATGTGAATCCGATTCATCCAGCTTTCTTTGGGGGAGGATTTTCTACTCAAGGTTTTCAGTGAATTTAGCAGCAGACTGATACGTTTCTGTCTACAATAATAGAAAAAAAAAAAAAAAAAAACAGGAACATGTTGGTGATTGCAAAAATATAATCAGGTAAATAAATAAGCCAGAGCCGTCCAGAGGCTAATCACATAAGAGGATTAACAAAGGGTCGCTGTTAAACAAAAAGCTGGTAAATTTTCTTCTTTTTTTTTTTCAAACAACTCTCAGTATACAATTCATTGAAAAAGTATTTACACCCCAATTTATTTATTTATTTTTCATATTTCATCACATTTAAATGACAAGCTAATTGAGTTCGTTGAGATTTTGTGCAATTGTTTTTACAAGGAAAAATCTAAACCGTGTGGTTGGCATTTGTATTTAACCCCCTCTTACGCTAATACAGATAAATAAAATCCCGTTTAGAAGTTATCTATAGAGTCTCAGTCAGAGGCTGGTTAGCTTGAACATATTTATAGAAAGAAAGAAAGAAAAACAAACAATCATCAGAACAAACTCAAAGGAGAAATCAGAACTTGCAGTTTAAAAGTGACAACACCGAACAAGACCTAATAATGGAAGGATCTGGAAAGTAGCGACTTGAAACAGAGAGGCTTAAATTGTGGGGAGGTGATTACTGGATCAGGTTTAATCAACTGAGTCAGGGGATAACTGAGGAACTGAGGGGATAAGTGACCAGAGTTATCACTGAGAAACAGAAAGATGACTGAACAACACAGAAGTCAAGTAAATGACAGAAAAAATGTCAAACTCACGAATGATCGTTTGAAACAAAATGACACGCAAAACCAACGACCCGCGGATCTTGGTCATTTGAGAGCATTCAGCAAGGTAGACATTAATCAGAGAAGAGAGAGAAGTACATGATAATTAAAGAATAACTGCATTGATCTACAGCTCAGGTACATCATGGTAGAGTCGCAAGAAATGGTCACAAGAAAGCTCACTCAGTTCGTGTAAGGGACTCGAGGATTAAATTGTTTGGCAAATAGCCAGAACCCCGTGTTAAAGTGTAATACTCCAAATCACGTTGAATTCAAGATCCTCAATGTAACACTTGGTTGTGGCAGCATCAGGATGCGGGGGATGCTGATAGAAAACGTGTTACTGACTGACCATAGATCAGGATGGATCCAAAGGATCTAGGACAAATAAAATATAAATTATTTTTGCTTAAAGTATGCTAATGAATGGCCCAGTTAAAGCTCAGACTCAGGAGTCTGGAAAATAATATGCTGGCCGCCTGCTTTAAAAAAAAAAAAAAGTCAATAATATTAATAATAATAATAAAAAAAACACGTATCTTTCTCCTTTCCAGCGTCTCGCAGATAAGCGCAGATCTCTCCGCTTCTCTGTGACGCTGTGCGCCCCCCGCCCCTCCCTTCCTCTCTCCCAACAAATGTGAGGCGCACCAGCGGGACAGACTCAGCACGGATCCAGTTGTTGTGCGCCAACTATCAGGAAAGTGACACTTGAATCTAAGACCTCCACAGAATCCATCCGAACCGTGGATGAGAGTCGGAGGAAGAAAATACGTTCCGGTTTGGGGAAAGAAGGGACCGCAGAGACAGATTTCCTCCTTTTGTTGATCTATTTTTATCTATTTTATTTTATTTATTTTTTTTTTTTGAGCAGCGCGCACAGACTGACATGTCAGCGGGAGTAAAGACGTGAATGAAGCGCAGCGCGGCGGTTTGGTGAAAAATAAGAGAAAAGGATGAAATCCAGGAGTCAGGATCAGAGTCTGTCTGACTCCAGAGAGCTGGACAGATCCTTCGATCCGCTCACAGGTAAGGTTACTCATCATCATGATCACATCATCATCATTGACAGCAGCAGCATTGTTTATTTAATGCTGTTTGCTGCCCTGGTCTAATAGCTTTTGATTGATTTCCTCTTACTGAATGACAGTAAACATCAGCGCATGTTTCAAAGAGCGGTTTCACGCACAGGAATTAACTTTCAATCAGTTTTACCAGCGGGG